CAAACAATAAAACAAAATCACCAAGGGATAAAACAGTGTTCACTCGGCTGTCGACAAAAGCAGGCCACTCTCGATGTGTGCTACGCGATCGTCTGTTTTCTCGGCAGCAACCATTGTGTGGTCCTTCTCATTGTTCTTCATCAGCAGTTCTTTCGATCGATGCGTCGTCGACTTTGGAAAGCAACCGTTTCGTGATGAGTGTGTGAGTGCTGACCACGTTTTGCGTCCATTGCTGCAATGGACGCGCTCTGACCCTTGTTGGCGTACAACAATTTGCCATACAATGAAACTACTGGAAGCGGCTCCAGTTCTGATGGAGGAGGCTTTTTGGATAGCGGAAGATAAAGTGTTTATTGTGTTGTACCTTTTGACTATAGTTTTAAGATGTATTGTATAGTGACCAAGAATCCTCGGCTCTGTAAAGTTAATTCGGTTGAGCCTTATCAAATAAATTAATAAACCAAGGGATACAAATAATTAAATGCATGTAATACTTTCTCCGTGTAGCAAACTCGCGTTCCGCGTCTCTGGTCCCTTCTCGTTGCAATTCCACAGTAGAGGCTTAATTTAGATCTTGTAATCTGTGCGTTTGAAAACGGATACACACGAAAAACGACGAAGAATAACGATCTCGGGAATCGTCGGAATATTTGAGGTAAAGGCCCATGAGTTTTGCAATAGGCGATCTCTCAGGCCCAGACCGCGGAAAAGTCAGGATCGAAAAGTTCGGTAGGCTGATAAAACTCTAGTGCAAGCCAATAGTAGTGAAATTGTGCGACATAGTTAGTGCCAAGGAAAAACGAGTACCGTGCTATTGCACGTAATGCTAGAAATTTTAAAGAACGATTTCCAGTGCACATAGTTAAGCTTTTTAAAAAACGTGCCTTAGAAGTAATTCCGTACAGTATTGTACCTTGTGTGTACGGTTGCCATAACTTCCTTTGAGTGAAGGTGCACCCCTAAGGCGCCACGGGGTCCGTTCTAATCGTTAGCCACATATAACGGGCGTCTTCGGCCGATGAGGCATACAACATAGCCAGTCCTAACCTCGCACTCTCATTGACGAGAATCATCAACGTGGTCCGGGTATCCCAACCGTCCGTCGCATCGCTTTATTCACCACACGCGGTTTTGCACACTTTCCGCCAGGTGAAGACCCTAGCGTTGAGCTCACCATTCGCCATTCTAGTAACGCCCTGTTGCGGCTAGTCGCTGGCAGATAGCCAAGTAGTCAAGTTCGAAGTATTACACGTTTGAATTTCGTCGGCAAGTGCACTTGCAGGAGGTCACGTGCACAACGTAGGACGACGAGGGAAGAGGATAAGGATCAGGGAGTTCAGGAACAGGATTAAAAGGATCAGGAAAGAGGAAGAAAACAAGTAAGACCGAACCAAATTGTACAATTATACTAACCCTACTATAAAAACACTTTCGAGTCGATAGATAATATACAAACGAATGTCTTTCCTTTGAAAAATGTTTCGCCTAATAAACATCAGGATCTTTAGTTAGTGTGTTCGCATTCTTGACGAGTCTTAAGTTTGGTGGAGAGATATCGTTTGTTGCAGTTTTCGGTTTCGGGACGAGTAGAATAGGCTCTGGGTAGGCAAACCTTCAAAGGAAACCTACCCACCCTGGAAGTTGAACTGGTTTGGTAGGTCCATTCGTCGTTGGTGTTTGGGTGTAGAAGTTTCGGCCGTGGGTTAAGGCAACAGTTAAGGACTCGCCCTGAGGTCTCGCAGCCGGGTACGGGATTCTTTGTCGAGAAACGTGCTCCTTCGCGGCAAGATAAAGCTTGCCTGGCGCTTAAGCGGAGGTTGTATTACATCCGAGATTTAACCCTCCCATGTCAATTTACTAGTAAGCATCATAGTTAAGCGTCGAACGTGTGCATTTGTTAAACATTAATTTGAATTTGTTAGATCTTAATTTGAATTTTCTACCTCGAGTTGAAGAACCTTATCCAGCGTCCCAAGCTGTACCAATGGTGACGCATTACCTCTAACTGCTTTCATGCTTTTAGATAAGCATTGTAAGTCCCTCCTACAAGAAGAATTATGTCATGGAACGGCTTGCTATGCCCCGCATTCATCAGCAAAAAATTCGGGATATTATAATTAAGGCGCAGTATAGCAAGCCGTTCCATAGCATACTTCTCCAAGTAGGATGAACTCACAATGCTAATCTAAAAGCATAAATAGAGGTACAGATTGATAATTTCAGTGCTTGGTACCGAAATCTGTAATCTGTGATAGGGAAATCCTTTTTTCCCTCCACAGAAACAGCCCGTTTTCTAATGAAAAATAATAGATATGCGTTGACAATGTTTACTCAATCGGTAGCTATTACGAAATTTGGCATCAAATAGGTGCAAAATTGTGGACCCCCTCTTATTGTGTGTGCTATTATTTAGCGTTCTGAAGAAAGCCCTACCTTAACTACCTTTAAAATTTACTCAAAACCCTTTACAGGATTTCCCTTTGGCTTGATTTCCCTTCATAGAGATTATATCAGATTTTTTTTTAAATCAGTTCTCTCTGGCAGTGTAGCAGTCTAGAAATTGTCTGCAGATCAATGCAAAAAAGCATGAACTACAACCTTAGATATTCTTCGACGCTTCCGTCCATAATTCTATTTAAAATTGACTTTAATTCTATTTGAAATGCATCTCTGAATGGTCTTAAAATTTTGCTTTTTCTGAAAAATTTCTTGAAATTAGTTTCGTGATGCCCTTGGAATTCCCTTTAAATTATTCCCAGAATCCTTTTGGAATTATGCAGAAAACTACCAGTTTGGTGGATGGTTTGCTCTACATAGTGACCAACCCGGTGTCTGATAGACGTAGTGATCGGCGTTTCGTTTATTGGACGAAAGGTAAATGCCTCAAATACCACAGCCAATGCCAAATGGACTGAAGCAATGTATCCTCACTTCACAAGTGACTAAAGTCACTTCAAATCTCGGAGTAACCCCCACTATCACCTAAAACCGGAGCATTTTCGATTGATAGGGAAACGTAAATAGTAATAAGAAAGAGAAACAGTCTCGTTGTACATTATGAATGTTAATACAATTTTACTTTAAAACACTGGGTTTATGAAAAAAATCCTTTTGTTGAATACTTGCACACCTCCCCAGGAAAAAATAGACAGCATTGAATTTAATTTAAATTGAAATTTCAACCTTTAAATTTAAAATAATACTTCATTAATAATTCAACATAATTACAATGCAACTCTACTATCTACATTCAAAAGCGGTAGATACCGCACAAGGACTTCTCGATAATCAAGTCAGTTATGGCACGGCATACCATACTGGGGACGGTGAGTTCGATTCTCTGTTCGGTCGATGATATGTTCGGGCATAAATTTGTCTCTACTTCCCTACTACGTTGAGTTGAGACTAAGTTGAGAGCAATTCTACTAGGGACGTAACAGTCAAGAAGAAAAAGAACAAGCATTCGTGTACAACCAAGTCATCCGGATCAATTCCCGTCAATGACCTCCGCCGGAAGGGGAGATTGTACTGTACATCTATCCAGTCACGAGGAGCGTATGCATTTGATTTCCTCCCACTCATCACGATATTACAGGACTCAGACTGAAATGCTGATAGTCATCAGAAGCTAATTTCCTTTAATATCTTTTCGCCAGCACTGCACAAAAAGGACACCAATAGCAGCAGGAGCAGCAGTATGTACGCTATTATCCTAGCGTATGATTACGAAGGCGAAAGTTGCCATCATCGTAGCCGTCGTCGTGGTGGGTGTCAGTTCAACTAGGGACGGGAACGAGCGATCCGTGGTGGGCTAGGCTTGCCTTTATCCCGTGCCTGTGTCCTGTACTCCCAGCCATATTATTGTCGACTCAACAGCCGACGAGCAGTCGGTGGGTATGCAAATGATAATGAAACATACCCGGAGGGATTGTCGCATTTTTATTCCGGTGGTGGATGGGTCGGAGGAACCATTAGTGGTTCTATGATCCATAAATATAAACGCCACTGTGCTGTTCGTACACCACACAGACAGAGACAGGCAAATATGGGTGGTGGTCGTCGTAGGTTGGCGTTCAGGGGGGTTGGGAACTGAAGGATAGGCGAACCCTTTCGTTGTCCCGTGTGGCGTGCATACATTTATTAATTTGACCGGAAAGGTGGGAGTTGATGGCTTTTGGGAGATACAGGTGAACGAATGGGAATGGATGGGACGAGAATGAGGTGCAGCACTTCCTACGACGGGAAATTGTGTTTTGGGACCCAGGGGGAAACGAATCTAACGTTCTTTAAATTGATATTTACGGGAAGTTACAGGTTGTTTGTAAACTATCTCAAACGAATTGCATCCCTATCAGACATTTGACTCCAAAATGCCTCAGATTTTGTACAAAGAGACTTCAAATCCCCTGACTCCACCCATGACCGAGAACTACACCACTTGAACCAGATTGACCTACTTTCAACTTCTGTGGCGAGGCGGGAAAAACAACAGCTTGCATTCAATACATTTCCCCACTTAGTTTCAGAACGCTATGGCAAATGGAGAATGAAAACGCCACAAGTGAAGACGACAATGCGACGTCGATATACAAAAACAACATAAATTAAAGAGCAATGAAACGTGATACAAACAGCGATTCGATTCTTCCACTGCAACGATGATTCCACTTTTGGCTGCTTTTTGCTTTGTTTGATTTTCAGGAGAAAATTTCCGGTTATCGACATTTGTGCTGGCAAATTTTCTTCTTCTCCGTCGAGGCTTCCAAGAAGTCCCTCTTTCCGGGGTAGGTTATTTTTAGACACATAAAAAGAATAAGACGTTTCCAATGGGTTTTTTTTTCCCTTAGTCGGGGCCGTTGACTCCCGCCATGTGTCCTTGTCACTAGCCATTGACAAGGCGATTCGTTCGTTCGAAAAAGCTGTCATGTTCCGTAAAATCTCCAATTTTTCCACATGGTTTCCATTACTAACGCGTGGAATTTTGTTTCACCCTCTTGCAGCACTGCCACCAGGACCGACTGCTGCCACTAGGTTCGTACGAACTTCTTCCTCCGCGTCGTTCAGCACGGTATGATACGTTGCCCATACCTTCATGAGATGCATGAACGCCTACTGGGACCAACACCGCGCCGACCGATACCGCATCTAGCATCGCTGCCTCCGCTGGCCAAGCCGGAAAATACCAACATCATGGACCGCGAAAGTGACTGCCTGCTCGAAAGTAGGCCCGAAAGCCGACAGATCGGAACGATGGTTAAGGTGAGTGTTGAAGGCGATCTGGATTGATTTGCTCAATGAGAAGACGCACGCAGACAGATAACAGATGAGAAGCTGTACAAACTGTAACCTACTGGTTAAGTGCTTAATTCTTCACTGCTATATTTCTGATTTATAAAACTTAGTCTATAAAAAAGTCATGGGTTATTTGTAGAAATGAAGAGAAAATCATTTACTTATAGAGAACTTCGTAGAAGCTATAAAAAACTTCGTAAAAGCTCAGGGAGCTATGTAGAATTTCGAGGAACTTCATAGATCAGCGGATCTCAACTTTTTTTTTTTTTTTATTGCGACCCACTTTGAGAAATTCGATAGAGTATTTCCAGAAGAAATGCAAACCGGTTGGACATGATTGTTTCCGATTCGAATGAAACTTTTCTCATATGTTGACTACTACCCAAGGTTGCAATTTTCATTTAAATGCGATTTTTCTTCTCAAGAGTAACTTTCTAAAAAGGCGTTTGCAGAAATGGATAATTCTTTTTTTCAAAAAATCATAACTAGAATACGACTGTTCAAAATGACAGCTGAAAAGAAGTTGTAAGAAATTAAATGATTTTTTAGAGAAAAATACACTGAAAGAAAAAGTCACTAAATTACATGGTGTTACTCGACAAAAAAAAACTTTTTCAGTGACTTATTGTAGCTTGTTAGGCTAATCGAGTTCACCATGATATCACCCTTGAAATTGTTCTAAAACCCCCAAATTTAATACCAACAGATCGTATTGTTCTTATTTTATACGCACTCAGAGAGGCCAAACCATGACTCTCCCCCTTCGCCATAATTCAACTTGATCTTGTAACGAGACTCTATATCGGCCTTACAGAAATGGCTCTAACACTACCAGAAAATTCGCTTCTCAGGGCAAATCTAGAGGAAACAATCGAGAAATTGACACTACCCGTACGTGAAGAACCTCACAACCATTTGGTTGGACTTCTTCTTTAAATTTACGAACGCCGAATATGGAAGTTCAGCAAAATGTATCAAGGAAGCAAAATCAAATACTACATTTACTATAGCAAAATTTAATGAACGTGTGCACATTTCTAGATAGAGCTGAAATTATGGCCTATCAGCTTTTGTAAACAATGACTTCTCTTGATAATTTCTAGAAATTTAAGGGTCGCCTACGCAAACTAACATCCTCATCGGGTAGGGAAAGACTTCCCCAATCCGATGGTTAGGTTGGTCTGCGTGGACGTGCCTTAAATTTCTAGAAATCATCGATAGAAGTCATTGTTTGCAAAAGTTGCTACGCCCTATCTAGATTTAAATAATATTTGTTGGCTAGCTTTGGTGCGGCAGTCATCGGGTGAACGCCTTTGCAGGTTCCTGACTGACTTTACGAGCAATACACCGATCGCTGCCGAGATGATGGAGAGTGAGAAGATGGACATCGCTGTCGTGGTGATGAATAGCGACACGATGATCGCCGTTGAGAGGGTGGAGGTAAATTCATCCACGTAGGGATGGTTTGGGTACAGGATGGTGGGACCGTATGGTAGTAGCTCCATCTAGAATTTCTAATCGAAATTAATAGTAAATACTTAAATGTGGCATCCACCACCTATTTATTTAGTTTGGGGTGTTAGTATGGGTTGATTTTCTTATTGATAGTGGCATGCTAAACTTTACATATTAAATAATAATTTGATATGATTTTCCCACTGTTCACTGCTCACTGTTGTATATATTTGAACCACTCTCACGTTCATGGACGGTAACCTAACGACGTGAGGGTGAGCGTGAGACCTGAATATTCCGCGATCTGCTACACGAAACGAAAATCAATTATTTTATTCATGTGTTTCACTTATGCATTTTTGCCAAAACATCAGCTTTATACATTCCATAAGACAAACCGCATAGGTCCTATAAGAATACATAAAAGGGATGTGTGACCGCTTATACATTTCATTTGACACATGATCTTCATTAACTTTTTGCAAGGCGTCTGCTTATTAATTGACTTATACATTTTATGAATAATCAGCAATATAAATTTGCCACAGGGTATAAACACAAACGAAATGACAGACGACTAATTGACGAAGAAATCAATTAAAATAATGTGGTTTGCTCCAATAGATTTTTTTAGAAGCTTGTGCAGTCACCAGATGGGCTAGTATTTTTGTTATGATTTGAACAAAGTTGATTTTGTGTGCAATGATCGTTGACAGTGTGCAAAAAGTGTACCATTTTGTCATTTTTTTATGCATTTCAGTTTTGAGTAGAGTGAAAGAGATAGAATCAAAACATTCTAGTACATTTGGTGAAAATGCTAGTACAATCCAGCAGTAGTGTTGCCATGTGGTACACTGAAAAATTACATTAGCAGATTCGTCAACAAAGTTTTCGAGCCACTCCGTCTGTCCCTTCATTTGTGGTATAAGCATAGAGACTAGTAGCTACTGTGATAAAACTGACATAAAACCTATGCTCCTAAGGTAGTTCGCATATCAAGTTTTAATGATTACATTAAAACTGGGCCAATTGGCCATGACATGGCTCTATAGCGGTTGTCAGGAGGTTGTTAAAGCAATGTGGTCGTCAGTGAAGGTTTAATAATTTGGTTATATCGACTGCTATAAAACTTCAATAAAACAAAAATTGTTGCTTGGGAGGTCCCGAAGAAACGTGTTTAACTTTTTGGCTCAGCTCTGGTACTATCTTCGGTCCCAAGCTAATCAATGCAACCCTCGAAACATAGGAAAATCCACGAACCCCTCATTTTATCTGTCAAACTTTCATAGCGAATCAAAACAAACCTAGTGTAGAACTAGAATTTCGACTAGAATGGGGTACGTTAATCGTTTGCTTGGGACCTATAGGCTAGTCAAGTAGTGAGCCAATTTAAAATCGTTAGTTTCCACCGGTTGGTATAAGGCTATTTTTATCCGTGTACATGGTTAGCATTGGAAACGCACCTCATACTCGGACGACGATAACACTCGCCTGTGTTAGGTGAACGAGGTATCCATGTATTTGAAAAAAAATGATGGAGACAACAAAAAACAGTGTTTATTATTATTTTTGGGCTCATCACAATTGGAACCCGTTGGTTACAGTTTATATGCAACCCTGAGCGTATGGTCAAAATTTAAGTGAAATCGGTCCACATTTACCTGTTTGAAGCTATTTTTCCGAGATGGAGTTTAAAATGTATCAAGAAACACCATTTTCAACACCAGGTGGCATTGAAAACGTCCCAAACATCACCACACCCAATACCATAATAGCCGGCGCCGGTGGTGTAGTGGTAAGCGTGGCTGCTTTCTCACTCTAATGGGTCTGGGTTCCATCCCAGCCTAGGTCGGTGGGATTTTTCTAAGGTATAAACATCTCTGGAAGACAGAAAGTACAGCTGTCAGTGCTGATAAAAATCATTCCTTCTACACTCAACATAGCTGAAAATAAAGATAGACCAACTACCTGCATGAATCTGAATTTTGACATAACAACATTCTCTTGATCCAGGCAACCTCTGACTATCGAAGTCAACATTTGTTTTTCTTCATTCGTGCACTGAAAATGTATTTTCGTTATTTCTTTCATCCGGCGCAATGCTGATATTACGCCTTATTCGTATAATATACAAATTCAAATTCGTAAAATCAAACCAACAACTGCGCTTCTTGGCTCCTAAAGTGCTGATTGTATGTTGGAGATGGGATACTTTTTTTCTTGAAATATTGTCGGTTTGACCAATACATGCAAGCTACCACAATAAATAAAATTACTGGTCGCGGTGGTTTTATGTCAGAGAAGAAAATATATGCAAGCAGCAGAAAAAAGCAAACGAAATCGAATTACCGTTTCATGAGTGCTTCTTTTTTGCCTTTAGCTTTACTATTTATCGTAGCACAGAGAGCGATGGATAAAGCACAGATCTGACGATCGCAAGGTTCATGATTTGAGCCCGGTCTGAAGGCTATTTTTATTTTTTTGTTATGTTTTTCCTTCCAATGATGAAGTTATTTTTACCCATCCTCACTAACACACTCCACATTTTTTGATTTCCACGACCAACACTTGTGGCCCGCTGTTTGGGTGTAGCGATAGTGAGTGTGACAGTTCTAACGAAACTAGCTTTATACAATGTACAAATCAATTTCGTTACAGAAAACAACGAATGATTTCGTAGAACAAACGAGCGATTTTGTTGTATATACGAAATTTTATTTTCAGTGTAGCTGGATGTTCATTATCGCCTGTGTTGTTTTCGATATTAATATTCGTCTTCATACTGGTGAAGATGCTTTTGAGGATCAAATGCAAAATGATTATTTTTATTTTACTCAAATATAGCGCTGGACGTGTCGTGTTAGTTTTGCACACAAACCGATGGCAAATTATTGCCTCAAGCTGAACTGATGATAAAATCAAGGTTGCAAATACTCATTTCAACTAAAACAATGTTTTTTTTTTTTTAATTATGGAATAATTAGATGCCATGATCATATTTTGAATTGGTAGGATCAGGCATGGAAAATCATTTACATTCATTTGCCTTTAACTTTTTTCATAAACAGCATGTTACCGGTCAATCACCGAGAACAATTGGCTTTGTACAGCTTTTGTCCTTAATATAATTAAATTTATAGGAGGCTTGTTTATTAAATTTAATTGCTATAGGAAGGCTCACTCATACGTAAATATCTGTGTTTAGCATTATATAAATTTTTTATTTACTATATCTTAAAACTACATTTGTTAATTTATGTTTAACCTAAAATTTATTACCTATATAAATAGTCACCCAGCCCCATACTTAATATATGTAAAGCGTCGTATGCAGCTATATGATGTTTAAAAGAAATTAAAAAAAGATACCATTGAACCAATATAAATCGCGCTTGCGTCATTTGTTCAATGATTATAATGTAAATGAGAAAAAAGACGGCAAAGTTCCGCACTAAAATAATACAACCAAAAAAACAACTAACTGACTCACCGTGCACAAATCACGTGCACCG